CTTATTGTTGGGGATTTTCACATCCCCGTTGAGGTAACTTAGTGTTATTCGAAATTTCTCCGGTTCCGTGTTATTCAGAATGAGTTTGTTAACAAGACTTGATCAACCTTGTTAGCGGGTTCATTTTGATGATCACAAGATGGATGAAACTAGAAGGCACAACCTTCTGTACCCACTTTTTGCTTGTTGTTATTTAGAATAATGTTTTGCATATTTAGTTTCAATAAAGAAGTCAAGGATAGCCTTTACCATGCTTATTTTGCTAGTACACATGTTGCTGTTTGAAAACAGAAAGTTTACCGCTGTTGCAAAAATTCCGTAGAAAAGTCAGAGCATGATATAATGTTGAAACTTTTTTGCATAATGAGCTCTTATAAATTCACTACAGTGGGAATTTTATTTCATATTTTTTTGGAATTAGGGAAGTATGATGAATCTTGCATTCTTTACAGACTGTACTGTTTTGACAGATTGCTGTTATGTTTGCATTGTTTGCATATGTTTGCTTGTTTAATGACTCTATTTGAGGATATGAGTATTAAATATGCAGAGGCATTTAGTATGCAATGTTGAATAATAATTTTAGTGATTTGTTACAGTATAAAATGATAAGGTTTTGCATTGGTTTATACTAACCTATCTCACGAGTTCTTGTTGAGTTTGGTGTGGATGAAGCTTTTTGATAAAAAGAAGCAACTGCATATGAGAGGGGAATGGAGGCAGCTCGCCAACACGCTGCTGCTCAGGAGGCGGTCGCCTCTACATCTCAGTATTACCCCAGTTTTACTTATGGATATCAGCCAGGCGGTCATTGGTATTAAACCAACTTAGGCCAAAAGCCTAAGCTTGGGGGAGTACGTATCTCTCACCGACTTTACATTCATGTTCACACACTAGTTGTCGATGCTCATACTCTTTCATTGTATTATCCATGCTAGTTTAAAATTCTTTTTCTAGTTTTCTTCTTGTGTGTTTGAGAAAAAAACCTTAAGAAAAAACCAAAAAAATTAGTTAGTTTAATTTCGTTGCTTGTAGTAGAAATTAAAATGAAAACTCAAAAAGATTTCTTGTTCTTCTTTTTACTTATTGGGAGCTTTCCCGTGTAAATAGTTTTATTTTATTTTCTTTCCTTTGGGGGTCGAGAAGACCATATTGAAAATGCTTAGTGGTTCCTATATGCATGATTGTTTATTTAACTTAGAGCCCATATTACCTTGTCTTCTCTCTTGAGTTGAATGCTTGCAGATTCCAGCTTAGTCCAATGCACGTGCACTCTTATTATTATACACATCGTTCGGTTGTGCAAGTGAAAGGCAATAATGATGACATATGATGGACTTAGTGGGATGAGAAAAGCTGGTATGAACTCGACCTCTCTTGTTTTTGTAAATATGATGATTCATCATTCCTGAGTCAGCTATTGTGAACTAAACATATTTGCAATGACATTTAGAGATTATAGTTGCTTGTGCCATGCTTGATTAGCTATGAGTTATAATGCTTTACCTTGCATGCCAACATGCCATTAGAATGATTATGATGTGGTATGATGGGATGGTATCCTCCTTTAAATGAATTGAGTGACTCGACTTGGCACATGTTCACGCATGTAGTTGAATCAAATCAACATAGCCTTCATGATATTTATGTTCATGGTGGATTATATCCTACTCATGCTTGTATTCGGTGTGAATTAATTTTAATGCATGCTTACGACTGTTGTCGCTCTCTATCAGTTGGTCGCTTCCCAGTCTTTTGCTAGCCTTCACCTGTACTAAGCGGGAATACTGCTTGTGCATCCAGACTCCTTAAAGCCCAAAGTTGTTCTATATGAGTCCACTATAGGTACCTATATGCGGTATTTACCTGCCGTTCCAAGTAAATTTGTATGTCCCAAACTCCAAAACTTCAAATGAAATTCTGTTTTGTATGCTCGAGCAGCTCATGTTACAACTAGGGCTGCCTATATCTTCCATGCTAGGTGGGTTATTCTCAAGAGGAGTGGACTCCGCTCCTCATTCACGAGAAAGGGCCGGTAACCAGGATGCCCAGTCCCATGATCCAAAAAGATCAAAGCAAATCAAATTAATTAAACAAAACTCCCCCAGGGCTGTTGTATGTTGGAGGCACTTGTTGTTTCGAGCAAGCCATGGATTGATGCTTGTTGGTGGTTGGGGGAGTATAAACCTTTACCATTCTGTTTGGGAACTGCCTATAATACATGTAGTATGGAAGATACAGCCATCTCATAGTTGTTGCGCTGACAGTGAAAGTATGCCGCTCAAATTTTTATTCAATCTCTATTTTAAAATCGAGCTCTGGCACCTCTACAAATCACTGCTTCCCTCTGCGAAGGGCCTATCTATTTACTTTTATGTTGAGTCATCATCCTTCTTATTAAAAAGCACCTGCTGGAGAGCACACTGTCATTTGCATTCATTATTATTGGTTTATATTGGGTATGACTTGACTGGATCTCTTTTACCATGAATTACAATGTTTAGTCAGTCCTTGATCTTTATAGGTGCTCTGCATTTATGTTTTGCGGTCTCAGAAAGGGCTTGCGAGATACCATTTTGTTATATCATGTTATGATTATTTTGAGAAAGTGTTGTCATCCGAGTTTTATTATTATGGCTTGCTAGCTGATTATGTTATTGATATGAGTAATTGTGAGACCTATGTGTTATTGTGAGTATGGTTAGTTTATAATATTTGCTGAAACTTGAATGCTGGCTTTTCATGTTACAACAACAAGAGCAAACAGAGTTTGTAAAAGTTTTTCTTTATCACTTTCAGTTTATCAACTGAATTGCTTGAGGACAAGCAAAGGTTTAAGCTTGGGGGAGTTGATACGTCTCCAATGTATCTACTTTTCCAAACACTTTTGCCCTTGTTTTGGACTCTAACTTGCATGATTTGAATGAAACTAACCCGGACTGACGCTGTTTTCAGTAGAACTACCATGAAGTTGTTTTATGTGTAGAAAAGAAAAGTTCTCAGAATGTCCTGGAAATCCATGGAGGCACCTTTTGGAATTAATAAGAATTTTTGGTGAACGAATTAATGCCAAGAGGCCCACAGCCTGTCCACTAGACAAGGGGTGCGCCCCCCTAGGGCACGACCTCCTATCTCATGGGCCCCCTAGACCTCCTCCGACCTCAACTCCAACTCCATATATTCTGTCTTGGGGAGAAAAAAATTGAGGAGAAAGTTTCATCGCGTTTTACGACACAGAGCCACCGCCAAGCCCTAATCTCTCTCGGGAGGGCTGATCTGGAGTCCGTTCGTGGCTCCGGAGAGGGGGATTCGTCGTCGTCGTCGTCATCAACCATCCTCCATCACCAATTTCATGATGCTCACCGCCGTGCGTGAGTAATTCCATCATAGGCTTGCTGGACGGTGATGGGTTGGATGAGATTTACCAGGTAATCAAGTTAGTTTTGTTAGGGTTTGATCCCTAGTATCCACTATGTTCTGAGATTGATGTTGCTATGACTTTGCTATGCTTAATGCTTGTCACTAGGGCCCGAGTGCCATGATTTCAGATCTGAACCTATTATGTTTTCATGAATATATGTGTGTTCTTGATCCTATCTTGCAAGTCTATAGTCACCTATTATGTGTTATGACCCGACAACCCTGAAGTGACAATAATCGGGACACTTCTCGGTGATGACCGTAGTTTTAGGAGTTCATGTATTCACTATATGTTAATGCTTTGGTCCGGTTCTCTATTAAAAGGAGGCCTTAATATCCCTTAGTTTCCGCTAGGACCCCGCTTCAACGGGAGGGTAGGACAAAAGATGTCATGCAAGTTCTTTTCCATAGGCATGTATGACTATTTATGGAATACATGCCTACATTACATTAATGAATTGGAGCTAGTTCTATATACCACTATGTTATAACTATTGCATGAGGAATCGCATCCGGCATAATTATCCATCACTGATCCATTGCCTACGAGCTTTTCACATATTGTTCTTGGCTTATTTACTTTTCCGTTGCTACTGTTACAACTACTACAAAACCCCCAAAACATTTATCTTTATTGTTGCTACTGTTACCATTACTTTCATACCACTTTTGCTACTAAACACTTTGCTACAGATACTAAGTTATCCAGGTGTGGTTGAATTTAAAACTCAAACTACTAATACTCAAGAATATTCTTTGGCTCCCCTTGTGTCGAATCAATAAATTTGGGTTGAATACTTTACCCTCGAAAGCTGTTGCGATCCCACAGACTTGTGGGTTATCAGTCACCACCGAGGACCATCCCGCCGCGCTCGCCGACCTCGCCCATGCCTGCATCACGCTCGTGGCCACGCGGATCACGCCCCACGCGGATCACGCCCCTTGTACATCGTGCTCTAGGATGTCGCCGATGTACTCCCCGGAATGCCTTCGCCTTAGTGAGACATCCACACCTGCTTGAGTTCATACTCTTGGCAAGCAATTTTGGTTCTGTTTTCGGTACAATTTTGGAGTTTGACAGTTTGAGGAGTTCTGCTCCACAAGACAGACTTCAGAGTTTAGAAGTCAGTTCTTTTAGCAGATGTAGATGGAAGGATGGGGAATTTATTTTTGGATCTTAGGCCTTGATGTAGATGGAGATCGCCTTTAGGGCTCTGGATCAATTAAGGTTGTTGACCACTGGCTCATGCCCAAAAGGAATGATGGCTGCATAGACAAATTTTACCCTAAATAAATGGTAATTGAGGGACTCTCAACAAAATTCAGGAGTAACAAAGAAATACTATGTCCAAAACCAGGGAAGTCCTAACTTTAAAGGAAAGTTGGTTCTCAGTTCTTAGATTCTGATCCTTTTAGTCCAGATACAACAACTTTAATTTCTTTTCTTGGAACTTAGTCAGATATATTATCTGGTTCTCAGTATTTCCCCCCTGATACCAAAAGTGTTTAGACAAGAGAATCTTCCTCTGATGTGTACCTACTTGTTCTTTTCTCCAACAAAGGCCGGAGCAGGAGTGGGGATGGCAATGATTGCCGTGGTAGCTAACAACATCTGCATACCCTTGTGGAGATTATTTGGGGGAGCATCAAACACTGTGACAACAGACATCATGGGTCATTTAAAAAAAATAGACATCACGGTATGGTTATCAAAATTTCCCCTTCACTGAGTTCAGCATGTTTATGCTTTATCAAAATTGCTAAGTTCATCTATTTCTGAATTTAGATTCCAATTGTGACCCCAAATGAAGCCGCTCAATTGGCTGCTAAATATCGAGGACAAGGGTTTCAGACTCTGAAGCTCAAAGTAGGGAAAAACTTGAACTCATACATAGAAGTTCTGAAGGCTATATGGCTTGTGCATCCTGACAACTCATTTATCTTGGATGCAAATGAAGGGTACACAGCAAACCATGCAATTGAAGTTCTTGACAGACTAAACAGTATGTACTCTCACTATGTTCAATCTTTTCACTCTTAAATATCCGAGTTAGTGTGATGTTCTATGGTGAGGAATTAAAAATTAACTACTATTTTCTCTGAATCGGGCTTGATTTTTGGTACATATTCTATGATGATTGATGCAAAGTCCGTGTTGTGCTCCTATGACTGAGGTTGGATATGCTTGATGTCCAAAAAAAATTAGTGATGCTTGCTTGAGCGAAATGCCTATTGATCATACTAACATATTACTTTTCTTCCCAATGTGATACAGGTATAGAAGAAGTAGCAGAAAATTGAATACATCGTTCTCTGTTGCATCGAGGATTGATTTCAGTGCAACCTTTCATTGAAATCATGTGAACATGATACTATAGACTGCAACCATGAATTAATTTTCCTTCATGATGTCTACATGACCTTTTGAGCGTTTGGATATGATTTACGGTCCTTCTACTCCTTTGCTTAATGCCCCCCATCAATTGTAGGACCTTCAGGATGGGACTTCCTATCCATTCTTATCGGATAAATTAAATATATCTGTGGAAATCTAGGTATGAGATGTTTTTTTACATCTGGTGTTCTTTACATATTAGTGTGTTGTAGCAGATTTAGTGACAAAAACATATGTCATCCTGGAGCATTGATATAATTACATTTGCTCATTTGTTGTTATGTGTTTTGTTTAGAGGAATTGCTTCTGTACTTGACAGAATAGGAGCTGGTGTATTTCATGTGCAATTTTCTTATTTCGAGTAAGCTTGAAACTGATGGTCTCAGTTGGTTTGTGTATTGACTTTCTTTAGAGCCTGAATCTAGAGAGACTAAGTAGAGGGTCGCCTTTGTGCAGGAATTTACCGCAGGTCTGATCCCTTGCACGTGCCCTCCGCTTTCCCTCTCGACCCTCCCCTTGCCGATCGCCATCCATTTTATTCAGAGTGTAGATGGCGGGCAAAACACCTAAGCTCCAGGTGAGCTCCTACTCCATCCTGCAGGTGTCATAATTTGTATGATGTTTCCATTATTAAGTTTTGCGATCTAATGCCTTGCTCTACTGTTTTTATTTTTGATCTCAACGTTTCAAATTTTATCGGACTATGGTTACTTGAATGCTCCATGGGAATTGGAATGTGGGGGATCTCAAAGAATTTTTATAAATAAAAATCCAAATATCAACATTTTCTAATCTCGCTCAATGCTTGAGGTCTTATATAGAACACCATGTTGAGAGCAACCTGCCAACATCATTTTCTCCAGAACATTGAGAACCGATAGGATTCTATTTGTATTTACACCGACATTCTCTCTCCTTCGACTAACTGAACATTGCATTAATGTCGTACATGCATCCTACTTCATATGAGCAGCGCTCATGTTTCGAAGAAATAAACAGTGTGAGTTTACTATTTAAGTGGATGTCTTGTTTCTCCGGGAATGAGCTTAAAAAACACATGAGCTACTGTGACTAGATGTCTTGTTAGCCGTAGACAGTATTTTTGGACTGAGACTTGCTCCTGTTGTTTGTTTCAGATATTCAGTCTAAGATCTAAATTTCACCAATATGTCTTTGTTTACATTTCTTGATGTGTTTTAGATGAACCGAATCACTTGTGTTTATATGGATAGTAGCTACTTTTACTTCAGCACATAAAGAACAAAATCTGTATGAGTATTTTTTAAAGCATTTCTACATAAGCAAAACATATCAAGGGGCAATATGCTGGAATAAAATCATATATACAAATTTGTTTGTAGAGCAAGGATGAAAAGCACTCCATACACACCCACAAGGATGATGATCCATCTGTTTCTAGGATGGTGGGACTTGAGGTCAAACTGCATAGGTTTACATTCAACTTCGCTTGTTGATGTTTCTGACATATACTTGATGGAATATACATAAATATATGTTCTTTCTTATAGGTTTGCACCAGATTCAAGGATCAACTACTTGATGAAATATACAGGAGAATCTCCTACTCAACATTAGCTTAAAAAAAGAATCAAGGATTAGTTCAATGGGAATTAGAATGATGAAAACACTTGTTTGAGCACATGTGATCCTCATAATAGCATATTTGTAACAAATCTCTATAGTCAAATCACTTTCTTTTACAATTCTATAGTAAAATCACTTACTGTTGTGTATAAGTGCCATTAAGGATCAACCTATATCTGTGGAGGTGCATAAGCTAGATAAGTGGGCACATGAATGCTCAGGAGGCGTGCCAATGGCACACCCCAGCCACTAGTGTATATAAAGGAGGGAGGGAGAGAGGAGGTCGGCCAGGTTTGAGCGCGCTAGGGGGGATTCCTACTTGGGCTCCTAGTCCAAGTAGGATTTGCCCCCCCTTTTCCTATCTTCCACCGGAGGGAAAGGTAAGGGGGAGAGAGGGGGAAGGAAAGAGGGAGGCCGACCCCCTCCCCTAGTCCAATTCGGTTTGGGAAAGGGGAGGGGCGCCCCTCTCACGTGTCCCTTTCTCCTCTCCTCCAATAAGGCCCACTAGGCCCAATACTTCTCCCGGGGTTTCCGGTAACCTCTCAGTACTCCAAAAAATGCCCGAACCACTTGGAACCATTCTGATGTCCAAATGCAACCTTCCAATATATGAATCTTTACCTCTCGACCATTTCGAGACTCCTCGTCATGTCCGTGATCTCATCCAGGACTCTGAACAAACTTCAGTGCATCAAATCACATAACTCATAATACAAATCATCATCGAACGTTAAGCGTGCGGACCTTACGGGTTCGAGAACTATGTAGACATGACCGAGACACATCTCCGGTCAATAACCAATAGTGGAACCTAGATGCTCATATTGGCTCCTACATATATTCTACGAAGATCTTATTCGATCAAACCGCATAACAACATACATTGTTCCCTTTGTCATCGGTATGTTACTTGCCCGAGATTGGATCGTCGGTATCATCATACCTAGTTCAATCTCGTTAACAGCAAGTCTCTTTACTCGTTCCGTAATACTTCATCCTGCAACTAAGTCATTAGTTACGATGCTTGCAAGGCTTATAGTGATGAGTATTACCGAGAGGGCCCAGAGATACCTCTCCGAAACACGAAGTGACAAATCCTAATCTCAATCTATGCCAACCTAACAAACACCTTCAGAGACACCTGTAGAGCACCTTTATAATCACCCATTTACGTTGTGATGTTTGGTAGCACACAAAGTGTTCCTCCAGTATTCAGGAGTTGCATAATGTCATAGTCTGAGGAACTTGTATAAGTCATGAAGAAAGCGGTAGAAATGAAACTGACACGATCATAATGCTAAGCTAACGGATGGGTCATGTCCATCACATCATTCTCCTAATGATGTGATCCCGTTCATCAAATGACAACACATGTCTATGGTTAGTAAACATAACCATCTTTGATTAACGAGCTAGTCAAGTAGAGGCATACTAGGGACTATAGGTTCTGTCTATGTATTCGCGCATGTACTAAGTTTCCGGTTAATACAATTCTAGCATGAATAATAAATATTTATCATGAATTAAGGAAATAAATAATAACTTTTTTATTTCCTCTAGGGCATATTTCCTTCAATGTGAACGTCAACTACATGACACTTCACCATCTTTGGGCCTAAGGGAAAGCATTGTGGAGTAGTAATTAGATGATGGGTTGCTAGAGTGACAGAAGCTTGAACCCTAGTTTATGTGCTATCCCGTAAGGGGCTGATTTGGATCCATATGTTTCATGCTATGGTTAGATTCATCTTAATTCTTCTTTCATAGTTGAGGATGCTTGCGAGAGAGGGTAATCATAAGTGGGAGGCACCCAAGCACCGGGCCACCCATATATCAAATTATCAAAGTAACGAACGCGAATCAAACAAACATGATGAACATGACTAGAGGAAATTCCCGTGTGTCCTCAAGAATGCTTTGCTTATTAAAAGAGATCGTTTTGGCCTGTCCTTTGCTACAAAAAGAATTGGGCTACCTTGCTGCACTTTTGTTACCGTTACTATTATTTGTTTGTTACAAATTATCTTGCTATCAAACTATCTGTTACCGACAATTTCAGTGCCCGCAGAAAATACCTTGTTGAAAACCGCTTGTCATTCCCTTCTGCTCCTCGTTGGGTTCGACGCTCTTACTTATCGAAAGGACTACGAGTGATCCCCTATACTTGTGGGTCATCATACTGCACGACAGAGTCATCACCTAGAGTGAAATACGAGGAATCACCCTCAGTAGATCACACTAGATGTGCTACACTACAGAGTCGTCATCGAGAGCGAAATACAAGGAATCACCCTCGGTAGATCACACTTGATACGACTCAGTGTAATGGTATAATTGTAAGGGCCTTTAGGGGTGTTCCGGTCTCGGTATAGTGATCCATCATCTCGGTCAACCCAGATAGTATGGCATGGCAACACTGACAAGGGAGTAGGGCCATTGATGGTACACTAACTTACCTATTCTAAGCAGATAGGATAACAAATAAAGTATCAATAGCAGGTTATCAAAAACATGCTATGCATCAGTGTAGGATCTACCGAGAAAGCTGTAACAGTAACACTACTCTAATGCAAGCAATAGAGAGAAGGAATAGGCGATATTGAAATGATCAAGGGGGTTTTGCTTGCCTGGAAGCTCTATCGAGAAGGAGGGGCCATCGACGTCGTAGTCGTACTGGGTGTCACCAACAGCCTCGGGGTCTACCAAAAGAATAGAGGAGAGGAGGGAAATAGATAAATAACGAGCATACAAGTGCAACACAGATGCATGTCATGTCAGAATGTGATGATGATATGCTTTAGTGCATTCCTAAACAATTTAAAAGAAGAGGAAAAACATTCGGCAATGTTTTCCCAGCTCTGGGTATTTTTCAGTATATTGATCCAGGGGTAAATGTTCATGGTTCATTATGTTAGAGGGGTGTGGTAGGTATGTGGATGACATATTCAGATTCGTTATATTTTTCTGATCATATTTCATATATAAATTATTTTCATCCGAGTCACAGATTATTTTATATGATTTTTCAAAGTATAATTGAT